TTGAAGAGAAGGAAATTAAGTCTCAGAAAGGTTACATAAGTTCACCCAGCTAGCAAGTGGTAGGGTTAAATTTGAATCCATGACACCCATAATGTGCCCTTTAGACTTTGTGAAAGACATAACTTGTCAGTGTGACTACAGAAGATAGGTGGGAGATTCCATCCACCCAGCAGCCATCCACCCATCCACCCAGCCAGCCAGCCAGCCAGCCAGCCAGCCATCCACCCAGCCATCCACCCAGCCAGCCAGCCATGCATGCATATATGGTCTCTGAAAAACACACAGCGCTACAAAGACATAGGATGTGGTATTGTTTGCAATTATATTGAGAAGAACCCTCAATGCATTTAAAGCAGCAGCTCTTAAATGCAGTCCAAGGAACCCCAAGGATCCATGGACAGGATGCAGACAGTCTGTGAATCTAGGAAATTAAATGCAAACATTTTTGTGGCCATGTATGTGTTCACATTTCAAGCAAAGGTCCATGGCTTTCATCGTATTCTCAAAGATATCTCTGATTCTCAACAGTAGAACCACTGGTCCAGAGAAATGGAACTGAAAACCCTCTACTTGCAATATCTCAATTGTTCCTTACAGCCACACTATACAGTGGGTACCACTCTCTCCCATTTTATGGATGAGAAAGCTGAGACTCAGACACCCAAAGCAACCTTCCCAAGGCCACACAATTAGTTTGATGGGTTTCAGTGCTGGCTCCCCCATAGCTCGTCCATCCCAGGTGCTCAATCTAAGGCACTTAATGAATAGCACTCTCCTGGTGAATGTTAGCAGACCAGGAATGGGAGCATGTCCAATACTCGCCCAACTAGACTTGTATTCCGTGGCTGGGTGTTCTGCCTCTCCTATGTAGGGGAACCGGCCTTAGAAGAAAGCTAATGCTAAGAGGAAGCTGACGTTGAACTTGGCACGGTGGTGGAGTGGTCAGAGAAGATACGGGAGGTCCAGTTCAATTTGAATTTCAGATAAATGGTAAATAATGTTTCAGCCATAAATATGTCCCTAATAATGCATGGGGCATACCTTTATACTGAAAAAGTATTAACTGTCTATCTAAAACGAAATTTACCTGGGTGTCCTGTATTTTATTTTTTTATTTTTTTATTTGCTAAGGGTGGCACAGTGGAGAGAACCAGTACAGGATGATGCCACGGCATCTGAAGCCTGCACTACCTCTGAACTTTGGGTTCTGTAAGGTCATTGATTCCTGCACTGTTCATACAGTGTAGAATTCTGTCCCTTGCACCCCGATGCGCCCCACCTCAGGCAGAAAGGCAGCGGCTTCCAGCCCGCAGGCAGGTGCAGAGGGCAAGCTCACAGCACCGAGCTAAACCCCAGAGGGACGAAACTCGATGCCACATTAAAAGCTACAAAGCCAGTGCTTAGCAGACTGAACTTGTTGTGTGTGGGTTTTTTTTTTTTTTTTTTTTTTTTAGAGCTGTAAGAATGCAGCTTGACAGACTTCCTGGAATTCGTCAGATTCTCCTCAGTCAATGTAAATTTTTTATTACACAGTCATGGAACGTGAATTCATTTACACTGTAAAACTCCTCCATGAATACTAACACACTCTACAGTCATGCCAAAGATGACTGCTCGCAGCCACCGAAAACACAAAAATAAAGGCACCTAGCAATTCCAGATGAAGGATCCCAATTTTTAGACATTAATGATAAATTTCCATGTAATTTTGTAGAAATAATAATAATAATTGACTCCGTAGAAATATGTGACTTCATTTTTATTTTTATTTTTATTTTATTTTTATTTATTTATTTATTTTTATCCTCACCCGAGGACATTTTTTCCATCCTTTGTTCTGATAGAGCGGAGGGAGAGAGAGGAAGAGAGAGAGAGAGAAACATCGATGTGAAGGGACACATCGAGTGGCTGCCACCCGCACAACCAACCAGGGCCGGGGACAAACTGCAACCGAGGTACGTGCCCTTAGCGGGAACCGAACCCGGGTCTCTCAGTACCGCAGGCCGACGCTCTAACCGCTGAGCCAAACCGGCCAGGGCTCATTTTTATTTTTTAAATCCTTCCCCGAGGATATTTTTCCATTTATTTTCAGACAGAGTGGGAGGGGAAGAGAGAGAGAAAGACACTGATGTGAGAGAAACACATCGATCGGTCGCCTCCCGCATGACCCCGACCAGAGCTGGAGACCAAACCGGGACCAAGGTACGTGCCCTTGACAGGAAGCGAACCTGAGACTCTTTGGTCTGAGGGCTGATGCTGTAACCGCTGAGCCAAACTGGTCAGGGCAAAAACTTTGACTATAGATAAAATCTGAAGCATTGTAAAGTAATCAGATAAAAGTAGCAAGGAGGCCCTGGCTGGTTTTTCTCAGTGGTTAGAGCGTCAGCCCGCAGACTGGAGAGTCCCGGGTTCGGTTCCCTCTAAGGGTACGTACCTTGGTTGCAGTTTGTCCCCAGCCCCAGTTGGGGTTGTGTGAGTGGCAACCAGTCGATGTGTCCCTCTCACATCGATGTTTCTCTCTCTCTCTTCACCTCTCTCTCCCTCCTGCTCTATCGGAAGATAAATGCAAAAAATGTCCTTGAGTGAGGATAAAAAAATAAAAAAATAAAAAATTTTAAAAAGTAGCAAGGAGGTAGGTTATGGGAGTGAGTAGAACTGAATGACTAAATAGGTAACTATAGGACAGAATTGTTATTTAAAGATAAATGTGCATGTATGTGCGTGTGTGTGTGTGTGTGTGTGTGCATGTGCACTGTGTGTGCGTGTGTGTGTGTGTGTGTTGGGCTTACTGTTTACACAGCATCAAAAATCCCAAGGTAATGAACCCAAGGACTGTATATGCAGTGCCAGGTATATGATCAATGAACAAAACAGGATGCTGAGCTGGCCAAACAAATCTGTTCTTATTGGCATTTTTGAAGCCTGGCTCTGGTGCAGAGACTTTCCGTAACATGGAACACACAGCGCTAATATCACATCTGCAGACTCCCTTCAAACCCATCAAAGGCTGTAATTCAGGGTATGTCAGTATAAAACAATTGTGAAGTTAAGAAAAATTCCAACAAAGATATCTTTAGAAAAAGCAATATATATGTATGTATGTATGCAACTGGACTAAAAGAATTTTGATGCACAGTATTCCTGGACATGATCATATGAAAATGTTAACTGTTCCCAAGTTAATCAATAAATTTAACAAACTCCATAGCAAAATACCAATAGGTATGGGGTTTGGAAGGGGAGGATCAGAGGAGGACCTGATAAAATGTTTATAAGTTTATCTTCCTGAAGAAGAAGAGCAAACAGAAGAAGATGAACCCAAATAGATGTTAAAAGTATTATAAAGTAAAACAGAACAATGTGTTACAACCACAGGACTATATAGAAAGCTCAAAGGAACAGAACAGTAAGTCCAGAAACATTTTTTTTTATCCTCACCCAAGAACATTTTTCCATTTTTGTTCCAGTAGAGTGGGAGAAAGAGAGGGAGAGAGAGAGAGACATCAACGTGAAAGAGACACATTGAGTGGTTGCCTCCTGCACAACCCCAACTTGGGCCGGGGACAAACTGCAACCAAGGCACATGCCCTTAGCAGGAACCAAACCTGGGTCTCTCTGGACCGCAGGCTGACGCTCTAACCGCTGGGCCAAACCAGCTAGGGCCAGAAACAGATCCATGTATATATATATAAGGATTTGTTTATTGATAAAAGCGGGCATCTAAAACCCACGGGGAAAAACTGAATTTGTCAATAAACGATGTTGGGCTACCATCTAGGAGAAAAGAACAAGCAGCTTGTGAGTTTTGCTGGTAAGATGGCTTTTAAAAGTCTGAAGTGCACCCGGCCAGTGTGGCTCACCGGATTGAGCGCTGTCCCATGGACTGAGAGGTCCCAGTTCGATTCCTGGTCAGGGCACATGCCTGGGTTGCAGGCTCGATCCCCAGTGGGGGAGCATGCAGGAAGCAGACGATCGATGTTGCTCTCTCACACCAGTGTTTCTGTCTCTCTCTCTCCCTTCCACTCTCTCTAAAAAACCAATAAAAACATATAAATAAATAAATAAAAGTCTGAAGTGCTAGGTGTCCACCAACAGATGAATGGATAAAAAAGATGGACAAAAGATGGACATATGTACCATGGAATATCACTCAATAATAAAAAAAGTTGAAATCTTACCATTTGTGACAACATAGATGGACACAGAAGGTCTTATGCTAAGTGAAATAACTCAGAACAAGAGAGACAGATACCATATGATGTCACTAATATGTGCAATCTAAAAAAACACACACAAAACAAATGAAAAAACAAAACAAAAACAGACTCCTAGAAACAGAAAACAAGAGGCTGCCAGAGGGGAGGGCATTGGGGGATGGGTGAAACGCTGAAGGGGAATAAGAGGTGCAAACTTCTAGTTAACAATAAACAAGCCATGGGAATGTCGCACAGCACCGGGAACAGAGTCAGTAATACCATCATAACTTTGCACGGTGACAGATGGTTGCTAGACCTGTTGTGGTGATCACATCGCAATATAGATAATGTTGAATTACTGTGCTGTACACCTGAAGCTAATATAATATTGTATGCTAACTGTACTAAAGTATAAATAAAATAAAACACAAATTTTGAAACAGTGTAAAGTGGCATAAGATAAACAGTAAACAGCACCAGCCATGGAACAGCGAGGTGACGTGCTGCGGCCATAAACCCTCAGCTCGCGGCCTCCCAACAGCACGCCGGACAAGGAGGGGAATGCGGTCCACTGGGGCGCCCCCTTCTACCCTGTGGGACTTCACCAGGTGTCCTTCACCCCTCACCCCACCCCACTCACCCTTGGCAATCAGAATTGCCGGACCCCCCACCCCACCCCCCTGCCGTAGTGCAAAAGGATTCTGGAAAATAAAAGATTTCCCGATACAGCACGGGATGCCCTGATCTCCCTCACTGGCGCCAATCGAACAGTTTGAGTCATCCAAGGTCAGAAATGAGTCTCACCTGTTTCCTCTTTTCAGGGGGAAGTGACGGATCGCCATCCTACAAAAAAAAAAAAATGCTACATTTTAGTTTTAAAAAAAAAAAAAAGTGCTTAGATTCAAGGAACTGAACCAAACTATGAACTAAATTCAGACCCTCCCAAGTCCCAGTCCCCGCACCCAGTCATGTGCTGAGCCAAGCTCAAATACGCTTTTGAAAAACCAGCCTAAACTGAACCAGGCTTATTTTGGAAAAACATCTAAGGAATCAATTCTATTTAGGACCAAACCAAATATTTTCTAAAACTATGTGAACCAAAAAATCAAAATAAAAATAAACTGGATTTATCAAAATTATTTTTGAGCAGAGTCAAACTTGTATTCCATTTGGTTTGAGTTGAGTTCCTCTTTAAATAGTTGGGTCCAGAGGAACAGTCATGGACACACACATACACACTTGAGTTTTCTCTGTGAACAGAATAATTCTGGGGGGCGGGGAAAGAATATGTTTAAAATAAAAGGAAATTAACTGAGAACTTCTGGTCCTATCAGACTTTTTGTCTTAAAAAGATTCAATCTCTCTTCCTTGTGGGTTATCTAGGAATACAAATATCTCGGTGAATAAATGCTCAATAAACAAGAACACTTTTATCTGATCTGTCCGTATATAGGTCAACACTATTTTAACCTGAGGAATCTTTCTACTCTATTTCTGTTCCAGGACAGTACACTGAGCCCAGCACAAGTGGCCAGATGTTAGCAACAGTGTCAGCACTTAAAAAAGAGGTTGTGTCCATGAGGAAAAAAGACACAAGAATACAAAATAGTACCATGCTGTTGGTATCCTCCATTTCGGTATAATTTACATCCTTAAAACTCTTGCCATGTGATGTCCTAGAGAAAACCTAAATGCTCACGTTAAGAGAAAGGCTAAAAAAGATATGGAAATATTACTATGCAACAGTGTTTAAAAATGAACCAAGTTTGTCCGCATGACCTAGAGAGGTGTCCACAGTAGTGTTGAGGGGAAAGAGCAAGTGTCAGGATGACATCTGTTCAGTGCTGTCCGGCAGGACCTGCAGTGATGGCAACATCCCATATCGAACTGCCCAGCAGAGCAGCCTGCTCCTCACGGTCGCCACCAGCCACCTATGCCAACTGAGTCCATGACATGTGATAAGACTGAAAAACTGAGTGCTCAATTCTCTTTCATTCTAATTAATTTAAAAGGGAATTTAAACCATGTGTGGTTTCTGAATTAGACAGCGCAGATTTATAATACAAATCCTCTTAAAATACTCCCTATGATCAAAGGAATAAGTAAACAGGCACACAAACACATACGTACGCATGTGTGTTCACAGATGCCGGAGTAAGCAGTCTGGAGGGGACAGACTGCGGAGGAAATAGGAGTGGCCACTTCCACTTCTTAATTTTTCCACTCTGGAACTTTTTGAATTCAATCCTTTTCTGGAGAAGGGGCATGTTAAAATCCCCTCTTCCTATCTTAACGAGGGAACAGGAACGTCCCCGTGATGTAATACGTACGATCAGCTCTCGGTATTTCTTCTTCAGGGACTGGTGGCGTTCTCGCAGCTGGTTGGCCATGAGTTTGTACTGGTCCCTTTCCTGCTGGCATGTGTCCAGCTCCTTGGAGAGGATCAGCAGGGCTTCCTTTTTACTCTCCAGCTTCCTTTTGCACACCAGGTACTGCCAAACAAATCCAAGCGACGGGTCAAAACGTCAACAGGGCTCCATTTACCACACCCTGCAGGGTTGGTTTTTGTGTTTTTGTTCTGTGCCTGTTTTGGTTTTAGAGATCATATACCCAGAGACATTTGTCAGTAACTGACGTGTCACCTATCGGCAGCTACAGTATCTGACCTGTTCCTCATGACAGAACCCAAGCCTTGCATGTTCGTGAACTTTGGCAAACTGGGGAGAATAAAATCATTTCATTACAAAGAAGTAAAACAGTAGAATACTTTGTAAAAATTACATACTTCGATAACTAGATAGCTGGACCCCAATTTTATTTCAAAAGGATTTCTATATCCAGATGAGATTATGTAAAATTTTGTTAAAATTTTACAAAACAATATACACAGAAAGACATTTAAAAAGACATTTGTATGTTACTAACAATTGCCTCCTGATAGCAAAATTATTTGCATTTTTTAATTTTTTATTCTTTATGCTTTTCTGTGTTTTCTCAATTTTCTAGAATAAACCCATATGGCTTCTATAATTTAAAAAAAACCCAAAAAAACAAAAACAATGTTATTAAAATAATTTAATTGAACCATAAATCATTGCAATACATTGCACTTGTCCATGCAACATAGCAGACATTTTCCCACTTGAGAAAGTGTGTTTGTAATTTGGCCAAGATATGCACACCTTCTGTGATTCCAATGCAGCCCCCTCACCAGAGACCAACTTTGTGAGCTAAGTATTTCAGCCACATTTTGAATTATCCCCAAACACTCAGGCGAACCTTGCAGGAACCCTTTGTCCCTCCTCCTCCCCACTCTCCCCACCGTGAGCCACCCCCAGCTGGCAAGCCCCCACACACGGGCCAGTGTGAGCCCTGACCAGGACTCCTTTACTTTGATTGGATATACTGCACCTTCTGGTGTTATTCACATATGTGAAATGTGGCATTAAATACCTTTTGAATTTGCCCCGTAAAAGACCAAATTCAGAGCATTCATGAAAACAATTTATAGTTTCATTATACACTCTGACACGAGCACTTTGTCATTACGGACGCTCACACAAAGCAGAAAGAATCAGCACTCCCGAAACATTTGAGTCAATGCTCTTTTATGGACAAAAAGCATTACTCATATACAGTGCTTGCTCCGAACTGACTTTGTTAAGTTCAATTCCAAATAAATGAAAGGGGAAAGAGAGTTTTGTGCATTAGCACAATTTTTTTCCTTTAAAAAAAAAAAAAAAAAGTAATTGCTTCGCTTCCAAAACAAAGGGGAGAGAAAAGCCATTCTGAGACGGATTTGAGTTCTAAGAGAGGACACTTCCACCTTGGATGAATCTTATTCCTGGCAGTAATGAGGTTGGAATCCTGCCTTAAAATGTCCTGGATTTTAAGACTTTGACATCATCTTCATGGAGGCAAAATGGTTCTGTTGCCACAGTGATGTCTCAAGAGTAAAATCCCCGACGAGTAAATATCAAAGGCGAGTGGCTCAGAAACATAAGCTGCAATATCCTGAGGGAGGTATTGAGATTTCACTGGAAAAAATGCCGTTTACACAACTGAACAGATCGGCCCTTGTGCCTTCAGTTCTTTGCCCATAATCAGCAGCGTCGGTTGTCAGTCCTGTTAGTACCGGTGCACCAAGACAGCCACTTTGTCCCTTTGGTTTATCAGATCCAAATCTGAGGCCCCAAAGATACTCCGTGTCTTCTGACTTCGGGGAAGAAAATCGCGGTCGAGTGGGGACATTGTAAGAAAGGCAACATGAGTCGTAACCTCCGGTTTACTGAAGGGGAACAGGTCAGCGCCACCAGTATTGGCAAAGGGGACATTCAAGCTCCCTGACATTGAACTGCTGTAATCAGTTAGGGTCCCCAGGAAAAGCTGTTTCTCTCCCAGGGCCTCAGCTTCCACATTTGGAATATGAGGGGTGTTCCCAGGGTGCCCTGCAACTTGAGGAACCCACCATTTTAACACCACATCCATTGTCATTGGGGGTTAAGGGGGTCAGAGAAAGCACTGGGGTGAGCGGCTCCAGCCCAGGAGGTCGGACTCGCTTCAAGCACCCCGAAACTGCCTCCTCTGCCTGGTCTAGGAAAGAGCTCAGTGGTTTCCAAAGATCATCCGCCCCAGTGGCATCGCCAGGTTCCCCACACAGCTGGGGCTTCGGCCGCGGCTGGACGGGGCGCTGGAGCCGTGTTTGCGAGAGCAGTCTCTGGTAGAGCGCGAAAAGGCGAGCCGTCCACGTGGCCAACATTAGTGCCCCTCTCCCATGCTGCCAGTTCCCCTTCACTTCCAGACACGGGGAGAACTCTCCTTCCCCATTGCTTGGAAGTAAGGCACAGCCATGTGACTTGCTTGATCCAATAACCCGGGACTGGAAGAAACGAGAAACTTTCGGGGTGGAAGCACTGAGGAGCCCAGGGAGGAACCACCAAGCTTTCTCCTCCCCTGCTGCAACGCTGTGGAAGCATGTGTTGCCATGGCGATGCTGTCAGAACACATCAGCCCGGAGCATGGAGCCAACACACAGATAACTGCCCTGGAGAGTCATCTGGGTCCACAGAGAAATCGGTGAGATCCAGAAATAAACTTTTGTAGTGTTAAGTTTCAGAAATCGGGGGGGTGTTTTTTTTAACCAGAGCATAACTTCGCCCATCCTGACTGGTACAGTCCATATCGAAGAACGGGAGGGCCAGAGACTGGAGGGGGCTGTATCTGCTCCTGCTCTGTCCTCCTGCTGAGTTGTCCTTCAACAATGACCAAGATTAACATTTTCACTATTACTAGCACTATTAACAATAAAAACACCAGTTTTGTGACAAATGGTTTCCACGTATGATTGCCTTTAGTCCTCACAACAGTTATTTTCATTTTCTAAATGAAAATGTGGAGCTTAAATGAAAGTGCATGTAATGTGCCAAGGGAGTGGCAGAGCCAGAATTTGAACCCAGGTCTCTGTAGCCAAGCCTGTGAAACCCCAATCCCTGACACGTTCTGTGCCCCCTCCCCCGAAAAATTCTGGATATTCCTGGAGTTGGTTACTGTATCGAGTTGTATTCCCAGCACAAGGAAGCTAAGAAAGGGCAGTTTCGAATTTGGCTATGATTTAGACCAAGAACAAATAGGTAAAAAACCTCTATTGTTTCACCCAAACCCCTCTCTCCAAAACCAGTGGGCCGCCTCTCATTTCCGCTGGTGCAAGGCCTGAAGGAAGGAGGGAGAAAACAAAAGAATCCACAAGCCTCTCTCCCCTCTGCTCCTTGAGAGGCTGCCAAGAGGAAGCGATGGGTTTCCATCGGCTCATAGGAAAGGGGGTAAGGTTAGAGCCCCGGGAAGAACCAGAGGGCTCTCTTCTCGAAAGTGGCTTGGCTGTGAACAGGGGCTTTCTATAAGCTGCAGTCGGTCTCCATTATTCATTCAACAAATATTTTTGGGGTGTCTTCTATGTGTTAGGCACTGAGCCCAGCACTGGTCTCCCAAAGGGATAAATGTTTCTTTTTTTGAAAAGGAAAAAACATGGAACCTGGAGAACAAAATTTTATTTCCACACTCCCTCGTGGGATTCTTGGAAACCCCCACATTTCTAAAGACGGCAAAGATGTTTACACCCTGTTAATGACCTCATCTGATGTGAGGGTGTTTATGGTCTTTATGCCGCACAGTATGAATATTCATACATCTGCTGAAGACAAATCAATGTGTTTGAGTATGGGCTGCTGCCCAAGCCTCTACTGCGATGATACAAAGTATACAGGATGCGACCGCATTTCCTTTCAGACACCGAAAAGTCCTGCATCTGTAACATTTGGGGTCCAAGGATTCTGGACGAGAAACCTTTCAAACTTTTGTTTGAAAGTCACTCTTGTAAATCTCTACATCGTCTCAATGACATATGAAGACTAAAATCAGATCTTTCTCACACAGGAATTGCCCCAAATCTAAGCATTTATTAGATTTTGACTTCCTCATGTAGTACAGGAAAAGCTAAAAATATGTTCCATGCAGTAAATGGTCAAGCTGCCATGATGCTAAATGACTATTCCCACAGCCTCTTAATTCCTTTATTCTTCAGAATTAGCATGAATGGTGGAGCTGGGAAAAACCTCACAGATGACCCAAGTGACTCGCAAAGAACAGGTTCCTGGCTGCCTGCACGGCCCATAACAGCGTTTTCCAGACTGTGGGTCATGATACATTAGTCTGGGTAGAAAATCAATTCCGTTGCAACCCTCATTTTCCTTGGGAAAAAAAATATATACACAGAATAGAATAGAAAATATCAGTATGAATCCCATGCAGCAAAGTAAGTATCGTTTCATGGAACTTTTTTTGAACATGCATGTGAGGAGAAACACACATATATGCCTATTGTTACACATATATTTTGGGTGGCCATTTAGGAAGTTTGAAACTACTATTCTAGCATGAGCCACGTTGCCCATTTATTCATTCAGTCAACAAACACTTAGGGAAAGGCCCGTCAGAGACGAGAGTGAGGCTGGAGCGCGCGTGTGGGGCAGCCAGGGAAAGCTACGCGGAGGAGAAGATGCTCGAAGTGAGTTCTGAGTGAGGAGTAGGTACAAAAGGCACCAAATAAAGGCCGTTATGTAATGAAAATAAGAACCCAGTTCTTTGGGACTGAGACACAGCTCTGATTAAGACCCACTCTGCCCACCTCACTAGAGTGACTGTGCGCTGGACATGAAAGGGGATATGTTAAAATTTGGCTTTGTAAACTTTTTCAAAATTAAAAGTATTATTTTTATAGCGTTTAAAGCTTACACAACAGTGCTGCAGACACTTTCTCACTGACAGTCAACACTGTATGACAAGTGGGACAGAAACTTCTTCCCATTTTACAAAGTAGCTGCGATTGTCTTTCCCACAGTCACACAACTGACAACTGTCCGCTCGAATGAGGACGCCTAACCACAAAGTCCAGGCGCCTCTTACTATTCCGACTGGTACTAAATAAATTATGAGCGGT